ATTTATTAATTTGCATACACTGATCCATGCTTCCAGCCAAGGAATGAAAACAACCTGATCAAGGTGTGCGATCCCTTTAATGTGTTGCTGGATTTGGTTTGGGAGTATTTTATTAAAGCTTTTGGTATCTATGCTTCATGGACTAGAGTGAAGAGCACTGGTGTTAGTTCTTACAAGATCTAGTAAAATTCAGCAGTGAACCCATCTGGTCCTGGGCTTTTTCACTGTTCAGAGACTTAGTACTCTCTGAACTAATTTTAGTCCTTGGTTCTGATCAGTTTAGGCTGTTTATATACTCTTGCTTCAGTTTTGGCAGGCTGTCTCTTCGAGACTCTCAAATTTACTAGAATACAGGTTAAAAAGTAGTTCCTAATATTTTTCTGGATTTCAGTGTTATCTGTTGTAACATCTCTCTTCACCTTCAAGTTGTATTGGTTTGGTCTTTTTTTCTTTGGTTGGTTTGGCTAAAGATTATTAATCCTGTTTTCATCTTTTTAACATCAATCTTTTTTTTATATATTTGGTACAGGGTCTCACTACGCAGCTAGAACTTAGCGATCCTCCTGTCTCAGCCTCTCCAGTGCTGGGATTATAGGAGCGAACCACCACGCCTGGTCAGTCTCGGGGCTGGTTCAGCGCACATGGGAAGGGGCCCTGCGCTTGCCGAAGCAGGTGCTCAGTCTGCTGAGTTATTTTACCAGCCCCTGACATCAGCCTTATTTGACTGATCCTGTGTATTTTTCTTTTAGTATCTTTATTTCACTAACTTCAACTCTGATCTTTATTTTTTGTTTTCTTAGGCTGATCTGGTTTTACTATGTTCTTTTTTCTAGAACCTAAAAATTTATCATTATCATAAGGTTATTTAAAAGCACTCTAATTTCTTTCTTTTTTTTTCTAATTTATTGACATGAGTACTTGTTCTCCTGAACTTCCCTCTGAAATGCCTCTGCTGCATCTAGAGAATTTGTTTTTTTCTTTTTTTTTCATTTATGTATTTGGCACAGGGCCTCACTACACAGCTCAGACTCATACTGATCCTCCTGTTTTACAGCCTCCCCAGTGCTGGGATTACAGGCGTGTTACCACCACACCAGGACTGGCTCAGCCTCACCCCCCTTCCCTCGCCTCCCCGAAGGGCCGGCATGACATGCGGGACTGGAATTCATTTTCATTTGATCCTAAAATTATTTTCTTTTCAGAGGTAAGATTTCCATATATAGTTCCACTGGCCTTGAACTTACATATAGCTCAGGCTGGCCTTGAGCTCAGGGTGATTCTTCTGCCTCAGTCTTTCAAGTGCTGGCAGGCACATGCCCCCATGCCTGGCAGATTCTAGTAATTCTTAAATTGCCTCCTTGGATTCCAGTCACCTAATGTTTGCCTAAAGTGCTTTCAATCTTCAGGCTTTGGCATAGTTTCTGTGGCTTCTCTTGCTTTTTTTTTTTTTGCAGAACCAGGGATTGAACTCAGGCCCTTGTGCTTGCCAGGGCTTATTCCACTGAGCCATCTCCCTGGCCCCGCTTCTCTTGCTTTTAACTTCTAATTTCATTCTATTAGGGTCTGATAAAATGCAAACACTACCTTAATTTTCTTTTTTTCTTTTTTTTTGCGGAACTGGGGATTAAACTCAGGTTCTTGCCCTTGCCAGGGAAGGGCTTATTCTATTGAGCCATCTCCCCAGCCCCAAATACTTCAATTTTAAAAAGAGAAAGAGAGCCAGCCTGATAGCTCAGTGGACTAAAGTGCTTTAGGCAGAGTGCAGTGGCCAGGATTCAATCCCTAGCATGCCAGGCCAGCCCTGTTCCCAGGGCGCACTGAGATGGGCAACTGAGACTGGGTGCGGTGGCATGCACCTGTAATCCCAGCACTTGGGAGGCTGAAAACAGGAAAATCACTATGAATCTGATCTACGTAGTGAGACCCTGTAG